ATATTGTTGAGTAAGAAATGATAACTACAATTATGTTATTAGTTGACGTTTGCTGGGGAGCCTTACCTTTTTAGAAAAATTTTGGTTCTCTATAATTTAAGTTCGGGATTTTATAACAAAAAGCAGGGATTTGACACTTTTCTCAAAACTGCTGGGCTATCGCGTGACGTTGGAGATCTTTTAACGAGCTTCATTTCCCTATAGCGCGAAAAATCCGCACGAAATCGATGCTTTCTCTCCCTTCTCTTTCTTTCTTCCTCTCCGTCATCGCAGTCGATATCGCCGCCATTACATCACGTTCGTTAAAAGAGACGGACCTGCATAATTAAGAGGACTCGTTCTGCGTCCCGCGCATACAAAGAGAGAGAGAGAGAGAGAGAGAGAGAGAGAAGCGCGCTATTCGCTCCTATCATTATAATCGGCCGCGAAGCAAACGTTTCAGCCGGTAAATATTTAAGTCGGCTGGTAAGGGGCCGGTAATGAGAGTCGAGATGGATCGATAGACATAGTACGTAGGACGAGGTGTATACGCACGTTGTATGGGTCGCTGACACTCTCGATAAATATTGTCGGGCAGGCCGCGAATCGTACCTTCTCGTTTCTTCGTGTGTCCGTGCGGGAGAGATGACGGCGATACCACCCTCGCCCCGGAGAAATTAAAAAGTCTAGGGCAAACATCGCGCGCTGTCACACTTTTCTCCTCCTTCTCCCCAACCCCGGAGTCGCTCTCCCTCCTTGCCTCGTGATGTTAGTCTTGAAAGGCAAATAGACGTAGTAAATGTGATTTAATCGCGCCGCTTCGATCCGAATATTATATCTCTCCTTTCCGGCCGTCTCCGTTCTTCTCGAGCTAATTAAATATTAGCTCGCAAATACGACTGTTTCAAACACGGCAAAACTTCGTGCTAATGGCGTTCTGAGCTCCGTTAGCTTTAAAATTCCGCAAAGTGTTTAATCGTCGCGCGTGCCTCCAAGGCCGCCACGAGACTATGAAAGCCCCGAACGCGAATTCCTCATAAATTTTCCGATAAAACTTTGTGCATAGACGCGACATTCGCGTTCGCGCTTTTTTACTTCCGTAATACGTAACACATCATTCCTAAAAGTACAATCGTATTTCTTGCAATATTTTATCCTATACTCATTATTTAACACGAAGAAAGTTTTCATCGCGAGATAAAAAGCAATACAAAGATGTTTATAGTTATAGTCAACAATGTTGCATGCATGCTATTGAAAACGAGGCGTAAAATAGTTGCGGAAAACGTGTACGCGGAATAACAATCGGTCGCATAAGCTTGCTCAAAGTGAATGCTGTAATTAAGCACGTGGTATTTGCAAGTTTGTATGCGCAGTTTTTACTATCCCATTAGTGTTGTATAACGAGCTTGTTAATAAGTATGCGGCATGTATCAGTGCGATATATTCAACAAACATGATGTGTGTAAATAAAATTACCAAATAAAATCACGGGTAAATTGCATTATTGACACATAATTTTCATACGAGTAATATTGATTTTAACGGCATATTCGCACAAAGTTTCTTGTCAATCCCGCACATTATTTTTGTGCTCCAATTATTTTACTTTAAAATAATTAAAATTATTTCAAAATATATTAATTTAATTATGTATACATATATTTTGTTTTAATTATAGAAAAATTGGTTTCAATTGTTTTAAAATAAAATATTTAAAAACCATTATCTGTATTTTGCGACACTATAATCAGATTTGTAGTTAAAAATTTTTTTTTTATTTTTCAGGAGAGTTTTTAAAGCACAAGAGATAAATGTTGAGGCGTATAATTCATAACATGAATTAAATACATCATATTACACTTAAATTATCATAATATTGTTTCTTCTAAGTTAGTTTACTATATTATTCACAATTTTTTGCTTTACAATTGTCATTGTTGATACAACGTACGGAAAATATGTATATTGCAAAATATACGAAGTAAAATCGATGTGTTTGCTCTAAGCTTATAAATTGTCTTGAGATATTAACGGCACATGATAATGCTTTTCTCTGCGTCAAGCAATACGATATAAAATTGAATCGTAGGTGGTACAATTATGATAATTGTATTTTCCTTTGTGTAGTCATGAAGGATGGTAAGAAACGGAATGTCTGCTTTCCGACAAAGCGACATTGTCATGCACTACGTTATTGTACGCGCCCATGTTGTGAGCGATAATTCCAACAATAATATATCGAAATGAAACGTCAATAAATTTAATTTAAAGAAAAGAGCATCCGCTCAGAGATATGAGTCAAAAGAAAAGAAAGTTTCTTTATTCCGAGCGTACGTGTGATACGAGAAATCTATTTTGAAAGAAATTATTTCGCATATTGAGCGATTTGGAATATAATAATATATAGACATATATATTTTTTGACGTCTGTATTTCGCAATGATAGGTATTGCAAATTAAAGAACGTAAAATCCATTAAACATAAATTGAAACGTTTTCGTCACCGATTCTATCTTTTCTCATGCGAATACGTAATTAAGTACCTACTTTGCCATTATTCGCCGCGCTTTGCACGGTGACATACAGTCACCCTACTTTTTCCGCAAAGAGAGTCGTTTTTTTTCCCTCAGGACACTCGTGAATTTTGCTCCATTGTTTGTGCACGTTTGTTTGAAAGAGAGAGGAAGAAAGCAAGAGGGAAATACCGCTTGCGCAACGTCCGCTCGCGAAATTAATTTCTTTTCGATAGAATCTTAACGACAACGCTTTCCGTCGTATTACAACATTCGGAGGCGTCCGTTCGCTTTTATCATCGTTTTACAATCATAAAATTGTTTGCTTGGAATTTCGAGCGAAAGAGGAAGGGATCGTCGTCTCCGCGGGTACAGGTGTTTGCTCGGTACTATCACCGCCGGTCGATCGTTTTGTTAGACGAGCGACAGTGGTGACTTTTAGAAGGCCGTGACAAGAGTTTACAAGTACGCTCTTTTTTCTTTTTTCTTTATATTATTGCTATCTACCACGAGGCTGCGATCTGCGCGCGGGACGATTGTACTTGAGCGTCAAGATTCGCGAAAGCGATTAAATGCAAAAGTTGTTGATTTTTTTCTTCCGTGTAACGATATCACGAGAGCAATTGCAAGATGCGCGCGAGATTGTGCGACTGGCGCTAATAAATGATGTCGGTCGTAACACTTTCTGTTTTCGATGAAATTGTATTTACTGGAAAATTACGATTAAATATAGTATTATATTTTATTGCCGAAAATTTGCATGCAGGAAAAAGTATCCACGGTTTCTGTACTTAATTTATAAAAATTGAAAAATTTTCTGAATATTATAGAGAGTTAAAAAGAGTAAAAAAGATTTCTGATGTATATTTAATTATTTACTAAGATAAAAAAATATTTAGTCATCTGGTCGAAAAATTAACCTTGTCAAAAATAGAAGTGATTTTGAATCTGTTAGTACAGGTGATTTGCTTACATGTCACAAAATCGTATGTTCTTTTTTTACATAAGCCGATTGGTATTAAAATGTTATCAGAATAAAATATTTTTTTAATATAAAAAAGTCTAAAAATCTACGCTTTTTTATAAGCTTGTATATGTAAAATAATTGAAAAAGTCGATTTGTGATAGAAAATAGTATCTATGGATTAATTTCTTGATTTTAATTATACATTTTTTCACTTGATGAATACTATAAAAAATATCTTACTTGGTGTATAACAAGTATGATTATCCTTCTTTCATTTATTACGTCTGATGATTATCGACGCCTCCTTTCATTTCTCTGCTAATTTTTCTCGAACACGGCTTCAAGGGTATGAAGATTATTTGTCAATCATCATATTAATGTCGCGAACGTGACGACACACTTCGGTTGCTAATTTTACATGTAAAATAATTGTTCTTGATTGCACTTCGTACTTGACAGAACTAAGCTAACGTTGTCTTTGGACAATCGGTTGTCTCTAAAAGTACCAAGCCAAGGGTTTTAGTCATCGCTGTCAGACGCGCAAGTGCCGGCTGACGCCACGATTTATTAGTTGATTCAGTTGCGTTTAGTTAACCTTGGTTCATTATTCCAGATCGCTCACCGGCTCTCTTTCTCGCACGATAATCGAATTTGCAACGCGTACATTTATAACTCGCCCCTTACTTCCCATGATGTGGTTAATCGTCGTCGATCAAACTTTATGTATTCACGAGTTTATTAATGCTAATATTTAATTGATTGATTTCCAATTAGAAACGTAATATTTCTTATGATCTTGTAATTAGACAGATGTTGCAAAATTCGGAAAAATTTTCGATATGTTTTTATACATATATATTAATGAATACGTATAAAAAGTGTGAAACTTTTTTAATATATATTAATTAATATATATATTAATATTATATATATTAATTAAGATAATCGTACTTATACCTAAGCTCTGCGTTTTTTTTTTGTTTTTTACTGAAAATTGGAAAACTAGCTGTCAGATTCAATAGAATTTGCATTTTTATCATATGATCTGCGGAATTAATTACTTGATAGCTATACAAAGTAATAACTTATATATGAAATATTCGATCGCGATCACAACACTTTACATTTGGCGTCATCGATAACAGAATGCACTGAGCAATTAACTGATACGAGCAAGTCACATAGACAGCTTGTATAATATACTAGTGCTATATATTGAATTCAGTGTGCATGTGTGTAATTACCTACAAACAGCGACTATAGATCGTATTAAGTATTCGACCGTATCTTAATTAACAAAATTATACTTGTTGAAATGGTCTTTGGAAGAATGTCAAATTTTATTTCAGAAAGTCAACGCAAAATCTGCTATTATAATTGATACTTTAGATCTATTTAGAAATTACCTTTGACTTACGCTATGTTATTATAGATACTGTACGTTAGAATATTTTTTGAAAATATTATCGTAATTATAGTTGAACGAAACCGCAACAACGTATACTGATTCAGAAATGGTTTTTAATTCTATTTTACAGGAGAGAAACCACACAAGTGCGTCGTGTGTGGCAAGGCATTCTCCCAGAGCAGCAATCTGATCACGCACATGCGTAAGCACACCGGCTACAAGCCGTTTCAGTGTGGGCTTTGTGATAAGGCGTTCCAGAGGAAGGTCGATCTACGTAGGCATCGGGAAGGTCAACATCCGGCGGCGCCGGCGCTCGATTATCGCTCTCTGCAGATACCACCGCAGCAGCATCAACAGCCAAATGGCAACCGGCACTCACCGTTACCACCGCACTCAGCATCCTCCGCGGGTTACCACGTGATATCCGTTCCTGGCAGTAGCTGAGACTCGTTCATTTGACAGACACTTCGTCCGTGAACGCGTACCAGGCCCTTGAACCGGATAACCGAGCGGTATGTATCGTTGGATCGCGACACTACCATGATCGGTTGGGGGAGGGCAATTACTGCGAGTACTGCGAGACCGGCTGTCGGGGAAGCGAGATTTCGTAGATACTTCAACTCCGGAATTGATTAGACGGAGTAATAAACATATCACTTGAGCGTGTGTATATCAAAATGAATGAATATATCAAAATGTATTCTTGAGACAGCCTGCAGGAATTCAGCGTCTTTTACGTGAGATAGTTTAATTACTGTGCGAGGTTGAATATAGTAAGGTAAAGTCAAATCTCGAAAAGATATTACTTCTCGAATTAAAGTAGAAGAAAAGATCTCAGTGCTGTATGTTTTATATAAACGAAAATAATTTGTTGTCTCTCATCGAAATTGTGTAAGATCGGAAGTCTGAGATACGTTCACAGATTAAAGATAACGCTTATATACCTTTAACTCGCGTGATTATCTGGTTTGGCACGTTGGTATTATAATATGTCAATACAAAATATCGGAAACGTCTCATGTCCGCATTAACAAATGTCGCTTCAACGTGAAGACACGTGTGCATTTTCAATTAATTTTACAAATAAACGACTAACGTGTAGTAATGCACGTGTATCAAAGAGAGAATTGTTTCGAGATGTAGCGCTTCGTCTTTGTCATATCAATGATTATACTTATTCTCTCAATAGTGTGTATATGTATGCAACATGCTAATACCAGCTTCTTGAGCAACACGTGATACATCTCGACGTCAAAACAGCACCGTTGTATATCGTATATCCGTGTCGGTTGGAACGCGAATATAAATCATATTAGACGCGATGTGTACTTTCGCATCGAATCACTCCTTTCATTTTATCGGCCTGATTTAACTGCAAGTTATACTCCAATGGTCGCAGCTCTAGTGATGTATCGATAGTGTCGATGTTTCGGAATGTTCGGAATATCCGGGATGTCCACGAAAGTGTAACGCAAGTTATCGAAGTAGGATATGTGCATCTCAAACGAAACGAAAGAAACCGGCATATCACGAAAGTGACATAAGCCGGCTTTATCTCAAAAACGATAAATACACACAGCCGCGATTGCACGCGTGATTGCACGATACAGATTCGAGGCGCTGTAATTCAAGGATCATCAGCCAGCGCCAAAAATGTTTGGCGCTCTGTATTCGCGAGCCGATCTCGCTTACACTCAGGTGAGAAATAATGTAAATATTTTTTGTTGAAATCACCACACCGCGATATTTCTTCTTCGAAGGTATAATTATTAAAGTGTGAAACATGTAATTGAACGCAGAGTATTTACATAAATCGAACGACACGTGTGTTTTTCATTAAAACGCATCCAATGCCGTATATATTTCTGTATCGTCTGATATATTTCTGACTTTCAGTTAGAATTTATTGTTACATAAGCTTTGATGTGTATTATTTCTGACTGATGTCTTCTTTTATTTCTTTTTTTTTTTACATCATGTTGTCCGATTTAAAATAATTAGTATGGCAGATGAATTTTAATTTTTAACAATTTTAATCGATTCAAAGTTCGCAAATATAAGATTTTATAACGTATTCAATTTAATTGTTTCGATTGTAAGATGCACTGATATAATCAAGAAGATTCAAGTTTTTAATTTTTTAAATATTTTCAAGGTTCGCACTTTGACTATACAGGGTGTTCCCGGGTTAAACCGCCAAACTCGAAATATGAATTCAAGACCTGAAAACAAACAAAAATTGTCTTCTGGACGTATGTTCGCAAACGCTTTGTTCAAAAGATATTTACTTCTGAAGTTATATAGAACTGTAGGAATAAATAACTGAAATATGTCATGTTTTTGTGAATAATGAATTGTATGACCTTTTGAAAAACATTTCTTTCAATACGAGAATAAATTTCTGGTTTCGATTGGCTGTCCTGCTTACTATGACAGAAGTCCTCAACAGTGACTTAATACTCATTTTTCCTGAAGATAGATCGGTCGTGCTCGGCCTCCGCGTTCACCGGATTTAACACCATTAGATTTTTAGGATACTTTGAAACAAAAAGTGTATGAAGTGCCCGTTAATGACTTACGATCATTAGTGCGGAGGATTGTGCAAGCGTGCGAAGAAATTACAGACGCACAATGTCAGTCAGTCACTCGTTCCTCGTTCTCTCATCGATAGATGTAATGCTTGTCTTTGGGCTAGAGGTCATCATTTCGAATAAAATTTTTAATAATTAAATTTTGATTATTGTAAAGCAATAAAGAGGATAGACTTTATTTCGACATTATTCACTCCTACAGTTCTGTAACTTTAAAAGTAAATATCTCTTGAACGAAGCGTTTGCGAGCATACGTCCAGAAGTAAATTTTTGTTTGTTTTCATGTCCTGAATTTATATTTTAAGTTTGGCGGTTTAACCCGAGAGCACCCTGTATGTTACTCAAGTTAGAGTATATTAATATCAATATAGTAATTAAACTTTCAATACACACACACACATATATATATATATATATATATCTGTCGTTAGAAATAATAATTATAATGACATCTGCAAAATTGAATGGTTAAAACTGTACATATATAAATATACAATACATATATATTATATTTCTTGAGGCACATATGCAGAATATTGTATGTATTCGTAAATTTATGCTTTTACAATTATTACTATTTGTGTTTTCATTCTTGCAGCAAGCGAGTGAAAATTAAATTGAAAAAATTTTTTATTATTAATTCGGACCATTAATTGTCCTCGCAATAAATGTATATGTAATTCGATTTGATCGACCTGAGGTTGCTAGTAAAACAAAGTGCCTAAACGTGCCTTTCTTTAGTATCGTCGTATATCCGACTCATATTTATGAAATATCATTGCACTCTTACTATTTAAAAAAAAGTGCATCTCCACCTCTAAATACATAAACAATATGTGTGCTTAACGTACATTTAAGCTTCATAATGCCTCAATGCAGATATCAAAATTATTTTTAATACGTTCCTTTAATGAAGAATGTAACATTTTTTATAAATTTGAAGTAAGCATTTTGGCTAATAAATTATTAAGACCACGCATAATCGATAAACTCATGTAATTAATGTGAAAATTAATTTGTCGTTTGGAATAATGGAGAAGCTATTTTTATGTATTATTTCAGTTTTACATTACATCTAAAAACGTATAAATCGAGAGCTATGAATTGAGTACTATTTTCTACTATCACGTATCATAGTCCATCGAAGCCAAAGTCACGTGTTTTTAAAAATAATACAATATCGAAGAAACGTTATCGTCGACTTAATGAGATCAGTTTTGATCATTTCATGATCTCTTATTTGATTAGTATTTTTAAATTCTCTCCTATTTGTTATTTGCGATTCCAATTTTTATGTTTTGTCCTCGCTCTTTAGCATACACCTTTGTAATTATCGGTAACAATACGGACGTCGATTTTATACGTCATTAATTAAGATACACTTCCCGCGGGAAGTTATTGCTGTGAAAGAAAAGCGTGAATGGAAGTGATTATTTTTGTATACGTAAAGGAAAGCGAAATGTGTAGCTTAAGTGATAAGCACGCTGTACTTTATCTACACAGAAAAAAGAAACAATTGACGTTACAATATACACGATCGCAGACTCGCGTATGAAACTGTTGAAATATAGCTTTTAAGCACTCGCGAAAGCCTTATGTAAATACGATGGTATTTCTCCTATCGTAGGAATATCCGATGTTTCAAAATCTTCAAAGTATTATCCGTCCTCGCGTGAACGTAAGCAAAAGAGATGGCGAAAAGCGACGATGCAAATGAAATTCGCATATCCGGCAACGAATCATAGCGGCTAGAGGACCAAAGATAGCATAAGTTGGACCTGATCGATTGGTAGCGCAATCGGGTTTTCTCTTTTTTTTTCCAGAATTCAAATAAAATACAAATGAAACGAGTTATCGAACGAGGACGACGAGATAACTCGCGAAAACTCGAAGCTTACCAGAGATCCCGGTTTTTCGTACGTACGTACAGATTGTAACATACCATTATGATTAACTAGTTGATTAATTATGTGCGATGATTAAGACTAGTTTAGACTAATTGTTCGACATTGACATTTCGTTAATTCGCTAGCGATGATAGTCCCACAACGAAGATGACGAACGACGAGTATGATCGCGCAGAGGCACTGTTCTCCCGGTTTAATTTATTAATTATACCGGGTAAATTAATTAATTAGCAAATACTATTAGCGCGACACATCTGACACGAGGCTCGTGCGTTAAGCAATTTTGTGCTATATATATATTATGATTATATAAACGTATGTGTAGAAAAAGATTGCGATCGATAAATCAGTAAGTAGGTACCTTTCAAGATATTTGTGGATATGTCCATCGAGCGTGAAAAGAAAAATAAGCGCGTGTATAAACGAATGAGTGTTGTGTGTGCGTGTGTGTAAGAGAGCAATAATGATAAGAGATTTGCAAGCATGAGCGAGCGATTCATGTTAATCGGTAAAACCAAAAATATGTTTATTATTGCTAAAGAAAATATTGATCGAATAAATTGTTTTTCTTATAAACACCTTGTATTTTCATAGCAATTTCCTTATACACATTTATCCTCTACATTACTATCATATCTGTATACTGTGAAAAAAAAATACATATTGCGCACTGCATAATCTATAACGCTGTTTAATAATTACGATAAAGCACCTACATTTTTAACATTTCAAGGCTCACTATAACTACCGCTTTAATTTTCTCTATCTAAATGTCTATTATTTTCCTGAACATACATTTTCCATTTGTAAATATCTGTTTATAAATATCACTTATTTAAACGTACGTTATTGCGTAAATTATTTATAAATTATTATTTGCAGTTACGAATTGAATTGTTGAATCACTATAACATATTTTACAATTTACGCCAAAACTTGTGCGTAC